AAGAACATCAGTTGCTCATGGGTAGGCCGAGCTAATATAATAAAAATGACGATTCTACCTAAATTAATTTACTTATTCAGTGGCATACCAATCAAACTACCAATAAATTATTGTATAGAGCTAGAAAAAACAATAACAGAATTCATCTGGAAGAGCGAAAGATCCAGAATATCAAGGGAATTAATGAAAAGAAATGAAGGGAAGGGGGCCTAACCAAACTAGATCTTCAATTGTATTATAAAGCAGCAATCATCAAAACGACTTGATAGTGGCTTAGAAAGTGTGGCTGTCTAGTTCCGCAGTGGCCAACCTTTGCTTCAGAATTAGATGAGGAAAAAAGGCATTGTCAAGTGTAGAATACTATTGTAGATCCCTAGGCAACTACTGACCCAAATTTGCTCTGTTTACTCTGGCCTATTCCTCCTCACCCCCTGTCCCCCCTACTGAATGCTTTTGCTTTGCCCCAGATTCAAATTTTAAGGGTCCAGTCCCAGCATCACAACTTGACTAGCTTTTCTGGTTGTTCCCTTTGCTTCGATAGTGTTACTTTACTTTACTAACCCATGACTGTGCCCTTCCTCAGATTATTCTATCTATAGTAATTCCTGAAAAGGAACTCCAACTCTTTTTTTCTAAATAGCATCTTAGAAGTATGCATCCTTTAGAACTTCCCCAGTGTGACTTGTAACTGTGCTATACAAGTGACAGGCAATTTATTTAGCCAAATTCAAAATTTTAAAGCATATTAAGCAATGCAAATTAGATAATATGCTCTCTAAGAAGGGAAGTGATATGACGTAGAATTTGCCTTGTTGTAATGACAGGTGATGGTGGTGGTGGTCTGTCTTTTAGTGAATAACTTTTCCCACCCAGTTTATCTGTTCTCTTTTGGTTTGTTTCATAGGCTTTCCTAGTTAACATTGTTAATCAGATTCCTAAAACAATGAGATTAGGAAAAACAATATTATTAGGAGTAGTTAGTTCTTTGAGTACTAATTAGTAGTTAGTTGATTTGGTTTGTTATTAACTATGTGATATGTGATTTGGGTGATCCCTGAATGATATTATAGTGGGGATTAATGATATTAAGATGGGCTTTTAAAAAAATAACATTTTATTTTTCCCAATTATACATAAAGACAATTTTTAGTATTCACATTTACAAGATTTTCAATTCTAAATTTTTCTCCCTCCTCACCTTCCTCCCTCCCCTCTTCCTAAAACGCTAAGCAGTTTGATATAGGTGATATATGTGCAGTCATGTAATACATATTTCCATATTCATCACAGTTGTAACAGAAGAAATAGACAAAAATGGAAAAAAAACTGAAAAAAAACCGCAAATAATATGCATTGATCTATATTCAGAGGCCATCAGTTCTTTGTCTGGACATGGATAGCATTTTCTATCATGAGTCCTTTTTTAAGATCTTGTGTAGAAGAGCTAAGTCATTCGTAGTTGATCAGCATACAGTGTTGCTGTGACTATGGACAGTGTTTTCCTGGTTCTTCTCATTTCATTTTGCATCCATTCATATAAGTTTTTCTAGGTTTTTCTGAAATCTGCCTGCTCATCAATTCTTATTGCACAATAGTATTCCATTACATTCATACACCATAACTTGTTTAGCCATTCCCCAATTGATGGACATCTCCTCAATTTCCAATTCTTTGCCACCACAAAAAGAGCTGCTATAAATATTTTTATACATATAGGTCCTTTTCCCTTTTTTGTGATCTCTTTGGGATACAGACCTAGTACTGGTGTTGCTGGATCAAAGGATATGCACAGTTATGTTTCCCTTTGGACATAGTTCCAAATTGCTCTCCAGAATGATTGGATCAGTTCACAACTCCACCAACAGTACTAGTGTCCTAGTTTTCTCACATCCTTTCCAATGTTTATCAGCTAGTTTTCTTCCTTCCTTCCTTCCTTCCTTCCTCCCTCCCTCCCTCCCTCCCTCCCTCCCTCCCCCTTTCCTTCCTTCCTTCCTTCCTCCTTCCTTCCTCCTTCCTTCCTTCCTTCCTTCCTTCCTTCCTTCCTTCCTTCCTTCCTTCCCCCCTTCCCTCCTCCCCCTCCCTTTCCTTCCTTCCTTCCTTCCTTCCTTCCTTCCTTCCTTCCTTCCTTCCTTCCTTCCTTCCTTCCTTCCTTCCTTCCTTCCTTCCTTCCTTCCTTCCTTCCTTCCTTCCTTCCTTTCCTTCCTTCCTCCCTTCCTTTTCCCCCTCCCTCCTTCTTTCTTTCTTCTCTTTCTTTCTTCTTTCTTCTTTCTTTCTCTTCTTTCTTTCTTTCTTCTTTCTTTCTTTCTTTCTTTCTTTCTTTCTTTCTTTCTTTCTTTCTTTCTTTCTCTTTCTCTTTGTGTCTTTCTGTCTTTCTTTCTTTCTTTCTCACATTAGCCAATGTGATAGGTGTGAGGTAGTAGTACCTTGGAGTTGTTTTATTTTGCTTTTCTCTAATCAAAAATGATTTAGAGCATTTCTTCTTCATATTACAATAGACAGCTTTGATTTCACTGAAAACTGCCCATTCATATCCTTTGATCATTTATGAGTTGGGGATTGGTTTGTATTCTTAAAAATTTGGCTCCATTGTCTATACATTTTAGAAATGACACATTTATCAGAGATGCTTGCTGTACTGTTGTTTCCCAGCTTTCTTCTTTCCTTCTAATCTTGGTTGAATTGGTTTTGTTTGTGCAAAATCTTTTTAATGGAATATATTCAAAATTATGTACATTTCCTGATGCACTCTCTCTTGTTTGGTAATAAGTTCTTCCCTTCTCCATAGACCTGATAGGTAGACTATTCCTTGCTCTTCTAATTCGCTTATGGTATGACCCTTTATATCTAATCATTTTGATCTTATCTTGGTGTACGGTGTAAGATGTTGGTCTATACCTAGTTTGTGCCACATTGTTTTCTCATTTTCCCAGCAGCTTTTTAAGAAGGGCTTTGAAGTTGGTTAGGTCAGCATATGGGGTCTATGTTTGTGTGTGATATTTTGTTGAATAGGAGTTTTCTTTAGATTTGCATGTATTCTTATAATTACATAGTAACCAAAGAGGCTCTCTAGGTTATCCCCTTCATTTTACAAGGAAGTCAGACAATTAAAATCCAGAGACATAATCTCCCAAGTCACCAGACTCCTATTCCAGTGCTGCTGCTTAATGATTCTGCAGGACATTTTAGCTTCTCTGTTCTACTGCATGAGAATATCTAGTGTTTCTAGAATTTGTTTATAGGAGGAGGTTTAAAAAAAAAACCAAACAAATGAAACCAAGTACTATCACTATTGTTTTACATTTTCTTGAAAGTCCATGGAGATATGTACATATTTTGTTTTTCCTTTTTGTGATATCTTCAGTTTGCTTCCGTTTGTTGCCTTCAGCATTTTGTAAGACTTAGTTTGTGGGCTGGAGATGGTTATATAATTTGTGAGAGGCCAACTGTGCTTTTCAGTACTCTACCACCTCTGAGCATGTATTGGGTCACATAATGGTCTTTGTATGTGTAACTAATTAAAAGACATCCAGGGAATTGGTGTCATTTTTCTAATTAAATTACCCATTTTTGCACAGTCATTTAAAGCTCTCCTGAACGTCCCCACCTGAATTCAGTGATGAAAATAGCTGATTTCACAGTTCTTGATTATTTAATTGGTCTATAAATAGTTTGAAATTGAACTGGAACTCAAAATATCCTTTTAATTTGTTTCAAATGAATATTTGTGCATATATTTTGGTTTTTATGTATCTCTGTGAGAGTGACAGAGACATAATAGATACCTGGAACTGGTAAAGGAATTAGCTGACGGGGCATTTTATATTTAGTTTCAGTGTTTGTCTTCTCAAGAGAAACGAATTGAAGTTTAACATTTTGGCTCATGGAATCCAGGCATCACATCATAGCTGTCTGGGATTCTGAATCTTCATTAATGCTGGTCTGAAGAATGTTGTTGAAAGTATTTCTTAGAACATGTTGATTTGTCTAGAAATGGCACACACACACACACACACACACACACACACACAGATTTTGTTGGTATAATAGAGTATTTGGTTTATCAAATCCTTTTTTTTTGTCTTTGGTTTATTAATTTGAGTACCTTAATGTCTTTCCTTGATTATTTTCTTAGTCTTTTATGGCAACGCAGCATGTGGGAATTTTAAGCCTAAAGGAGAGATATTAAACTTTATTTACATATGTTTAATAGCATTATATTAGCACAATAGATCTGTCTCATTGGACTTTTTGTAAATTGTCATTCAGCTTTATGTGGTGTAAATGAATGGACCCAATTCGGTGTTTTCCTCCTTCCAACCCTTCCCCTTTGGCTGTGCTTAGGACACTTGCCTCTCACTCATCTCTTCCCATAGTTTTTCTCCAGTTGTAGACATCATTCATCCATATTACTTTTAGCCCTAAAAGCTTTTCTTTTCTTTTCTTTCCTTTTAGAATGCATAGGATGTTGAGAGTACAGGAACTATGTGGATGGTAGTTTTAAATTACTGCCATCCAAAACTGCACATCTGGGCTATCTGTGATTCAAGTATGAAGTATTTTGTTTGGTAATTTAGCTTATTCAACTCTCCTTTTCTTATAATTTGATGTTTTTTTCTTTCCTTGTATACTTTTGATGTGAAAATCCCCCTCATATTTTCTGGGATTGGACAGGGTGTTGTTTGAATGCATAGTTTGAAATTGAGAAACTCCTGAAAGGAGTTAAGTAGCTATTCATAAGTAAGTAAATTGAATGAAAAAAAATATGCACATGCAAATCTATTTTAGGGTATGGTTATGGATAATGCTGTTTCTAAACCAAGAAAGCTCCCATTTCATCCCTTGCTTGGTATCTCTAGAATTACTGCTGACATCACCCAGATATTCCATACCTTGACCTGAGCGCCCTTCTTCCATATCTGTATCTTCATGTTGGCAGGTTGGGGAAATATGAGCTAAAGGTCATCTTTTTTTTTTCTTAATATCTTCTGGTTTTCTTATAGTGCTCGAATATTGGAAAAGATGCGCCAGCAGCTACTAGAAGATTTACTTAAGGTCCAGAGTGAACTGTTGGAAGAGAGGAAGAAGCGGGAGTATAACGAAGACCTTGTCCGACGTCTTCAGAAGCGTGTTTTCCTTTTGACAAAGGTACTGCTTCAAGTTGGCGATTGTGTGATTTTTTTTTACAGGCTTTTCGGTATTTCCTTTTGATACAACAACTGGGACCTTATAGTGCTGTACCATTTCTGTGTTTGAAGGGACCTCAGAGTTCATCCAATTTGTCTTCTAACTAAATAGGAATCCCATATATGCTAAACCAGCTTCTGTTCACATCCCAGTGATGAAGAACTCATTACATCCCGAGGCATTCAGTTCAGTTATGTACAGCTCTTTCTATTTTGAAGTTTTTCCTCTCACAAAGTTAGAACAATCAGCATTTCTGAAACTTCCACCCATTGTTCTTACTTGTACTTTGTGGGGATAAGCAGACTATGTCTAATAACTCATCATCGCATCCTTCTAATAAGGATGAGAGGTATCTTCTCTTAAAAAATAATTCATAACTTAAAACACTAAAAGTGGAACATTTCTATACCCAGAGCAGAATTTAAAAGGATTGTATATGAAACCATTACTTTCCATACTACTAAATTCTTTGAAAATGTATATAATGAGTTCCATGTTTTAATTTCCAAATTATTCTACTTGTCTGTTCTTTCTCCTAAACTTTTTTCTTCTATGCATTTAAAAAAGTATTATAGTGGTCCCCCTGTCATTAAGTTGACATTAATGTTTTTGTTAATTAACATAATAATAATAATAATAATAATAATAATAATAATAATAATAATAATGTTAACATTGACATTAATGTTGACATCATTAATGTTCCTTTTTTGCAACTTTGTCCAACCCTGTGAGAAAGAAAGATGTAAAAAACCCCTTATAATAAATAAGTATTCTCAAGAAAAACAAATTCACACACCAGTCATGTTTGAAAATGTATATCCTTTCTGCACCTTGTGTCCATCTTAGCTAGGTGGCGCAGTGGAGGGAATTCTGGGCCAGGAATCAGCAAGGTCCAATTTCAAATCCGGCTCTAGACAATTCTTAGGTGTGTGACCCTTTGTAAGTCATTTGTCTGCCTCAGTTTCCTTAGCTGTGAAATGTGAATAATACAGTACTTAACTGACACAGTTGCTATGAAGATTAAGTCAGATAATATTTGTAAAATGCTTAGCTCAGTACTTGGTTCCTGGTAGACACTTAACAAGTACCCTTCCCTTCATTTCTGTGTCAGGAGATAGGTAACATGCCTTATCATAGGTCCTGTGGAGATATGATTGGTAATTGCTTTTATTGGAGTGCTGAAGTTTTCCAAAATTGTGTTACTTTACAGTGTTACTATTCTTGAATAAATTGTTCTGCTGGTTCTTTTCTCTTCTTTTTGTGTCAGTTTGTATGACCCAGATCATCTGAGGAAAAAAAAAACAAAAACAACAGCACTCTACCTCTTGGCTTAGAACATTTTCATTGGAATGCTCTTTCTCCTCATATCTGACTTCTGGCTTCCTTCAAATTCCAGCTAAAGTCCCTACATTCCATAGGAAACTTTCCCAGTCCCTTCTGTTGGTTTATTTCCTTTTTGTCCTATATGTAGTTTGTAAATAGTTGTTTGAATATTGTTTTCCTTATTAGATTTTTAACTTCTTGAGGGCAGCGCCTTTCTTTTTTTTCTTTCTTCACATCCCCAGTGATTAGTACAGTGCCTGGAACATAGTAGGTGTTTAATAAGTGCTTATTTACTTAATGACTGAAATGATCTCTTTAATCCTTTCTTATAGCACAATAATATTCCATGACATTCATACGCTACAATTTGCTTAGTTGTCTAAAGTCCTAGAGGCAATCTAAGGCACCTCCTTAGGTTCTAGTTTTTTTTTTTCTCATCTTTCCTTTTAATCTCTCCTTTCAAGATTAATAAGTATTTTTGCTTACAGTGTCCTCTGTCTTAAACGTCTCTCCCCACTTCTACTTGTTTTCCTATTGAATTTGAGGTATTTCTACATCAAACTCTTAATATGTTCACTCTCCTTCCAATTCTTTCCTCAAGAGCTTTTCTTTTGTTTTTAATCTTTGCTTTATATATTTTAGATATGCATATTGTTCTGTTGGAAAAGTGGGGTTTTTTTGCTTGTAGGGTCTCTACTTGTAGTTGTTTCTGAGCTGGTTTTCTTTGGGGGGGATCTTTAGATTTTTGATAATTGTTGAAGCTTGTTTGCATTTTTTTTTTGGTTTTGTTTTGTTTTGTTTTACTGATCACTAGTTTAAATTGCGTAATTAATTCTTGGTGCCAGGACTAGGTTTTACTCCTGGTTGTGTTGTTGGGTGTGTAGTTGACCTTGCCCAGTCTCACTTTTGGTTCCCTGGATTCTTGTACTGACCTCCAACTCCCAGCATTAGGGCCCCCTTGATCTTTAAGTCACTGGAGCATTTCAAGAGAAATTATTAGTATGAGGAATGGGTTTGTTGATATCCTTCTTCAGATGTGGGGCTCTTGTGCCTGTCTAACTGCTCTCTTTCTTATTTCTTCTCCTTTTGTGGATCTCTCTCTATATTACAGCCGCTAACTTTGGGTGCTCTCAAAGCTTCTGGCCTTGACTCTCTTCTCTTCTTCCTCTATCTATTCTATCTTCTGTAGTGATCTTAGCAGTTCCTATCAGTTCAATTAGCTCTGATTTGGATTCACAGATCACTCTATGTAGCCATAATCTCTCTCTTTGCCACCAGGCTTGTATCACCAACTGCCTATTGGACATGTCGTACTGGATACCCCATACACATTTCAAACTCATTATGTTGGAAATAGAACTCACACCCCAGTCTTCCCCAACTTTCTTATTATGGTCTGGCACATTACCAATCTCCACCCAGTCTTGCTTTCTCATTGTCAACCTTGCGTCCTCTCTTGTACTCATCTCACCTAATCGAGATGTCGCTGAATCTTGTTGTTTCTTCTTTCAGAGCTTCTCTTATATATCTATTCTTTTCTCCGCTTAGACCATTACTGCCCTGTTTCAGGCCCTTATCAGTTCATGCCTGGATTATTGCAGTAGACATTTCATTGATCTCTCTAAAGTGTCTTCCTACTTGATTCCTCTCCATATTCTCTGTGATCCTGCTGCTTTGGTCTTCTTGCTGTTCCTTGAACATGGGACTCCATCTCCCAGTTCTGTGCCCTTTCACTGGCTGCCTCTCATGCCTGGAATACTCTCCCCTCCTCACTTCCGTTTCCTGGCTTCCTACATTTCCTTTAAGACTCAACTCAGATCCCACCTTTTTGTAAGAGGCTTTTCCTGGTTTGCCTTCTTTTCTACTCTTGCTACTTCCTTCCTACTGACATAGCAGGCACATAGTGGGCACTTAATATGTCTTTGTTGATGGACTGATTGATCTCTCCTTTGCCCTCTACTTTACTCCTTATCTTGCATCATACTTTTCTGTGTACATGTTGTACATCTCCATTTTCCTAAATTGCTTCTTAATATCTATTTTATTTCCTGTAATCCTCTCGCTTTCTAGTTTGGTCCTAAACTCTTCTCTTATCCATGTACATAGCAGGTGTATTTTTCCATGCTCTCCTAACTTAGTATCATTCTTTACATCTAAGTTATCTAGCCGTTTTGACTTTATCTTGTTATGTGATGTGAGATGTTGGTCTATTCCAAGTTTCTGCCAAACTGCTTTCTATTTTTCCCAGCACTTTTTCTTAAATGTTGAGTTCTTACCTCCAAAGCTTGGGTCTTTGGGAATATCAAACATTAGATTACTGTGGTTATTTACTACTAAACAGTTCCACTGATGCACCATTCTATTTCTTAGCCAGTACCAAATTGTTTTGATGGTTACCACTTTGCAATATAATTTGAAATCTGCGAGACCAGGGCCTTCCTTAACATTGTAAAAAATTGTTTTCTTGATATTCTTGACCTTTTGTTCTTCCAGATGAATTTTGTTACTATATTTTCTAGCTCTCTAAAATGATTCTTTAATAGTTTGATTAGTATGGCAATGAATAGGTAAATTAACTTAGGTAAAATTGCCTTAAATGTCTCCTTAATCAAGTTCCTCTTTTTAACATTAACTCTTTCTGACCTTTCTCTGATCTCTTTCAAATGCACTATTGCAAAAAGCAGGGTTACAATTAAAAGCCTAGGAGATGTCTACTTCTTTACCTTGAATGAATTCTGTGATATCTTAGCAAATTCTTCTCAGTGTTTTTGTTATTTCTCCTTTGGCCACCATTTTTTCCTTATCATTCAGAATGAATTTGAAGACATCTGTTCCTCTTATTGCTTCCATTACCATATAAAGGTGAAAATAATGTTGAAGCCAAATCAAGAATTTCTCATTTTGGGGAAGCTAGATGGTGCAGTGAATAGAGCACCGGCCCTGGAGTCAGGAGGAACTGAATTCAAATGTGACTTCAGACACTTGACACTTACTAGCTGTGTGAACCTGGGCAAGTCACTTAACTCCGTTGCCTAGCCAAAATAATAATAATTATAATAGTAGTAGTAGTAGTAGTAGTAGTAGTAGTAGTAGTAGTAGTAATAATAATAATAATAATAATCTCTCATTTTTTTCTGCTGTTATTAGAGGCCTAATTGTCAGCAAATACTTCTTGAGCAATACTTTTCAGAGACTTCTTGGTGTCTGCTATCTGGTCTATAATTATCTTCAGGGCAAAGTAGTTTTTTTTTAAAGGCAATTGGGGTTAAGTGACTCGCCCAGGGTTACATAGCTAGTAAGTGTCAAGTGTCTGGTCTGAGGCCAGATTTGAACTCAGGTCCTCTTGACTCCAGGGCCTTTATCCACTGCACCTCCTAGCTGCCCCTAGGGCAAAATAGTCTTAGAAAAACATTAAAATGTTCATTTGACCTCTCCTCAAATTCTAGCCTTTACTTATAGAATCATTATAGTATTACTAATCAGTACCATTAGGACCCTGGATTCCACATACCTTAACTTTCCTATGGATGGAATAACTTCCTTTTAGTGTGCATTGGGTTGAACTGTTATTACTCAATAAGTTCAGATTAAATTTGAGTAAGCCTCAGGCCTGGGTTATAGACATGGAAATTGTA